ATGATATGTCCCACCATGAATGTCATAAAAACCTGGAGGACCGAGAATCCCCTAGCCGGCCAGGCGGACCCGCCGCTTCTTCGGACGCAGTGGAGGGCCCGGACGGGTGGGGCCGATGGCGTGAAGTATCGGTCCAGGGGGCATTTTGAGAGCCGGAAGCGTACGCGTGAGGAGTACGCTGCGAACGAGGGCCTTGGGTTTGACGATAATTATGGGTGGCTGAGGATCGAGACGACAGAGAAGGACAGCAAGGTGAGGGCTTGGCATGATAAGGCTAAAAGGAGGAGGATGGGCTGGTAACAAGGGGTATCGAGAGTTGCATTTCTGGGGAAGCTTGTGCTTTTGCTTGGAGTGGGCTTGGAGCGTTTTGCATGGCGAACCTTTCTGAGATGTCTGATTTTAGCGAGGCGCTTCGAGTTGGATATCAGAGCAATGATTTGAGGTTCCAAGTTCACTCACATGAGTAACACTTTCATCGGCAAGTTTTCAGCTTGCCGTCCGAAGCCCCGGTCCGCCAAGGGAAGCACTCGAATAGATGACCTGTCCTCCCCAGTCAGCAAAGTGCTCCTTAGTCGGCTCGGCGTAGGACCATCAAGCTGTCTTCGTTTTGATGCGGCCTTGCAACTCTTTGGCCGCGCGATACCGGGCATCGGCAACTCAATTTTAACAGGGATCATTGGCTTTATATACCGACCATGCCACGAAAAGAAAACACAAGTCACAGAAAGGCCACTTCGGTACATTAACCAGCGGCTCAATGCTTTATAAGTTTCAGCCAGAGTGACATTCATTCTACGGAATTCTTCGCTTAACATATACACTTTCTACACGCAAGCAACTTAGACGCGCTCATCATTGTGCCTGACTTCTTCCTCAACAACTTCAGAGCCGTCGACAGGATCGGTGATTCCAGTCATCTTGGTGACAATTACGGCAGCGAACAAGTCGCCGCTAACGTTGGTGGCAGTGCGGAATCGATCGATGAACCAGTCGATGGCAACGACAACACCGTACATTCCGCTCGGGGGAATACCCACGCTCGATGAGATCATCACCGTCAGAACAAGGGAGGAGCTGGGGATGGGGGTGGTGCCGATGGAAGCCAGAGTCGACAGTAATAGGATGATGATGTAGTCGGCCGCGTTGAGGACATGACCCTGGGTCTGAGCGAGGAAGACAACAACAATCGGGAAGTAGATGGCGGTTCCGTCCATGTTCACGAGACAGCCCAGGGGCACAGCGAACTTGGTGACCGTCTCGGGAACCTTGAGCGTCTGGCGGCAGCACTTCATGGTGACGGCGAGGGTCGCTGCCGAGGATGCGGTTCCCCACGCCGTCAACCAGGCGGGCGAGCACTTGAACCAGAGGGTGTATGGGTTCTGGCGGGTGAAGGCGAAGAAGATGAGGGGGAGAACGATGAAGAGGTGCAAGAACATGGAGCTGATGGCGCCGCCCATGAGGATGCCAAGGTTCACGCCGATATCGTTGATGTCGAGTTTGAACATATTTGGCAGAATCAGGAAGAAGACACCGATGGGGGCGAGCTTGATGAGGAAGGTGATGATGATCATGATGAGGGTCTCGACCTCGCGCGCCGCCTTGATGAGGGAAGACTGGCCGTCGCGATTGTCGATGAGGTAGCCGATCACCACTGCGCTAACGAGCACGGCCAGGAGGTGGTCAGAGGCGAGGGCGTCGACGACGTTGGCTGGGATGAGGGAGTTGAAGAGCTCGGTGACGGTGGCGGGGATGTCTTGGTCTTTCCTCTCCTCGTAAGACTCCTGGTCTTTCGCGGACATGCTGTCTGTGGCAATGGAATCTGCTGAGGCAACTGTCATGAGGCGGGCCCAGACCTGGGAGGTCATAATGATGGAGTGGACGATGGCTACGATGGTTGTGATCACGTAGTAGCCGATTGTCCACTTTGCGAGCTTGGCGCCGCCGTGGGAGATTTCCTTGAGCTTTTGGACGGCGAGGACCATTGCTGTCACGATGAGGGGCAGGACTGTGATTTATTGTTAGCTCCAACGCTCAACGTGTCTGATGCAGCCGCACAGGAGCAAGGACCAGCATACCCACGGCTTTCAGAGACCGCAACCACAGGTTACCGGGGATGATGAGAATGGTCGTGGCGGCTGCGGGGATATCTGGGTGCGCGGTCTTGACGCCCAGACCGATGCCGACGGCGATGGCGGCGGCGATGATGATCTGGACGGCGGAACCCGGCTCGATGACCGGGTGCCACCACGGTTTCTTCTCGTGGACCGACACCTCCGATGTGATGGAGGTCTGGCGCTGAACCTGATCCAGCGAGGAGTTTGAGTTCTCTCGGACGGCCTTGTCGGCCGTGCCATACTCAGACTTCTCCATCTTGAGCTGGCTTGTGGACGGAGGTGATGTTGTCTAGATGTTGGCGAAACAACGGGGTTGCCTGGAGACGGAGTCACGAGGTATTGGAGAACGAGCCGTACCAAGATCGCTGCCACGCTGAGAGGAAGAAGGAGGAGAGAAGAAGTTCTACCGACCCTGATCGGCGACTCGAGCGAGGGATATATACGTGAAGAACACCCGGCTCGTGGGTCAAGCTGAATCTGGGTTGCACCGAGAGTCTTGTCTATCAGTGTGGCGAGCAGGGGCCGGCTAGCCTACGATGCCAAAGCTCTAATCGGCCACATCTTGGGACGGGGCCGAGCAAGAGGAAGCTCGCGTGGGCGATCCCGCAGGGGACTGGAGGGTGCGCCAGGCCATCAGGATGGGATCTTCACCGAGGACGAGATAGGGCACGCGTATCTCTCACCCGCCAAGAAGGATATCAGAACTGGGGGAGGGCACAGCTGTTGGCATCTTTCACGCGAAAGGAAGGTGTAAGAGGATCCATTCCATCCCCGCGTTACCCACCAGTCGCGCGTCGATGAAGGAGAGATGGGCATTAGTGTCTTGGTCAATCCGCAGGTCTGGATTAAGACTGCAAGTCTAGTGCACACGACCGTGCAAGGGATTGGGCGGCTGGCCGCCGGCGTGATACCTTGGGGAACGAGAAGGAAGTCAGACAGCACGGGTGTGTTCGTGACTGGGATGCTATGGGGTGGAAAACTGCGACGCAGCATTGGCAGAGGCAAGGTTGATTGGAAGAGTGGGCTGGACAGGAGAACTTTTCTGGATCGTCCAAAGGGAGGGTACCGGACGACAAGAGATAGGACAATGAAGCTTGACTGGCCGAGTCAGTTTGTCATGTCGGGATGGTCGTCTGGGTATTGGCCTTGGCTGGAAACACAACTTGGCGGTGACGACGGGGCTTTGATGGTGTTATTCATCGAACGGTGAGGAGGTTGTTTGCATGAGTATCATTGAGTATCAGATGCCTTTGGTGGTATGGCGCAAAGAGCCTCATACCTGGCTCGCAACGTTGCAACCTCAACTGACCACTTGTCGCGTTGTCGCAGACACTTCGATTGATCCAGCTCGAAGCTCTCTCGCGAGCTTCCATTCCAGGTTCACCCCACAAACCGTGGGTCTCATCGTCTCCCCATCTTGACAATTGTCAATGACAGTTCTGTCAAAGGTCCAAACTCGGCCTCCAGTTTGCAATCGCGTTGTCAGCTAGCAAAAAGCTCCACGGAGAGCAAGAGGATTCGGCGCGTCCAAGAAGACCAAGGCTCGTTACGAAGGTGCCTAGGATGATTGCGCCCCGGTTGGCATCCGTCAGACATGACTCTCGGGCGACGTTGGTACGACCGCGGCCTCCGCCCATTGGTCCGCCACGGCGAATGCCGTGCCGCGCCGAGCATTGCCGAGAGGCTCGGCGGAGGAGCGCGAGGACGAGGGTGAAGGGTCAGGCATGGGGCTCCGAGAAATTTGATTCGGGGGTGGAGAGGAGAGGGACCGTCGACAGAGAAACCAACGAGAGAAAAAAAAAAGTCTTGGCCGTGGCGCCGGAGCTCGTTTGCTTTCGACATTCCACCCACCTCCGCCCAGGAGTTCCGCCGAAAGCCACGCATAGCCGCAGACAAGCGTCGACTTGCACCAGTGGTCGGCAGATCACCGTCGCGTGCTCCCTTTTGCTGAAATATAGGGCGTGAAGTGATGCTTGGCCGCTCCACGCCGGTCCGGAGACAGATACCCTGGATCATGTCAGTTTATTACGTACAGTGTAACGGAGTGCAGGGTACCAATGTGGGTAGCCGAGCACTGAGTGCTTTCGAGAAGACTAGGAAGCCAGCTAAAAGTCTTGGATGTGGCCGGGGACTGCAACGTCTGACCACTGACATTCGAGGTGTTCAGTTTTGTCACCCTGATATCTGGAATTTGACAGATAATGCTCGCTCCTGGGCTGTCGAACGCCTGTTTCTTGTCCTTTTGAGATGTCTTATTAATCTGCTTAAGGGCATTCGGGAGGTAATGAACTGCAACGGGCCGAGTTCTGGCGTATGCAGGTCGAGCACGCGGCTCTTGTTCTGGGGAGCAGGCGATGGAGAGCCGGGGTTGGTTGCCGCTGCCGTGGAGCTCCATGTGGCCCCATCTCCCACATTAAGAAGGGATGTCAACGAAAGACCAGGATGAATCTAACGCTCCAGCCTCAGAAGAAGGTAGGGTATACGGCGGGTTCCCGCCAGGTACAGTCTTGGAAGCGGTGTAGTCCATGTTGGCGTGGAGAGCTCAAGGGACCCACGACAACCAGGCAAGAGACTCAGTGAGAGCCTCTAGGTAGCGTCAACCTCGAGTTGTGTTCAAAAAGACGTAGGTTCAGGTTGTAATGGAAGCCAGTCACCCTGCGGAAGGCAACAGGAAGTGGACGGCATAATAGTAAGACGAAAGCTAGCGAGGTGATCCTTCAATGAACGGCGAGAGCAATTAGGAAACTATAGATTCGAAATACACGTCAAGCTGTTTGCAAATACTGTACCAGATTCGTCTCATCTAAGCTTCAACTAAAGAAGGAACAGCCCCAAGCGACAGTATTGACAGGAAAGGCTCGGCACAGTCATTGATCTTAACATCAGCTAACCTGATAAGCCCTGCAATTCTCGAAGGCTACTCCGTAATCCTTGCGCAGACGCCTCTAGCCTTTGCCGTCGAGCGACTTGCTTCTCCGGCTCCGACCCAATGCGCAGTAGCTCATCTTCGGAGAATTGCGAGACTGTCGTGGGGTAGAAAATCTCTGGCAGCGGAGCCAAAATGTGGCGTTCAATGACTTGTCTACACACGTTGTCCACGAACGTCTTCATCGCAACCTGAGAGACGAAATCAGTGTCTTGGGCAAAAAGAAGGCAAGAGGGCTTGTGGTGCGTACCTTGTAGTAAGCATTGAGACCCGCAAGGGCCTCTTCACATGCTTGCTGATCCATATCAACGCAGAGCATGGGTTGCAATTCTTCAACCAGAACCTTTCTGTCACCATCGTCGTAAGGTTTGAAGCTGCGTCCGGGAAGCATGGCGAGCGAGTTCTCCAGCAGGTCTTTCTGTGATGCGTTGCGAGCCTTTTGAATGTTATCGGTGTAATAATGATTGTACGTAATTGGATGACGGTCCTCGTCCAAGAATATTTGATCAAGCTCCTTGAATGCAATCTTCCTAGAAAGCTCTAGCTTCTCTTGACAGAGACTATTGATGTCTCTGCTCAGACGATCTTCGTGAAATAGCGAAGACACCGCTTCACGGATCCATTTTGAGACGCACTCTAGAACAGCGGAAACATGATCTTTTGCGAGATTGCGCCACGGACTGGAATGCTCGTGGAAAAGTTCAGCGAGTAAGATGTGGTTGTAGTTGCCAGGAAGCTCACGACCTCTGGTTTTAATGTAAGTCTGATCATGATTAGTTGTTCTGACTTTATTACAGGTACATAGTACAGTAGATCAAAGACTTACCTCCCGAATCCAGGATACCATTTCGGTTCGTGTCACAAAAAGCTGGCCGCTGTTACCGCTGGAATCATCCTCTGACCGGGGCGTAGGTGGACTGTCGGTAATTTTGCGCTTGTGACCTTCTTCACGGACTTTCCCTGCGAAAGCACCGTTCCGCTGATGAATCAAGGAGCGAAGTCTGCTTCCATTCTTTTCATTAAAGAAGGCGGCTTCGGAGCAGTGATAGTTCCCATCTAGGGCCGCCTGAGCCAGCTGGTAGTAGCGCATACTGACGTTGGTCATGAAAGATCGAATATCACCGAGGGACCGACGTTCAGGGCCCATATCTTCAAGGTCCTTTTCGAACCAATCAAGTTTGCGTCTGATTTCATCCTTCAGTTTGGGCAGCTCCCCCTCGAGGTGCTCATCCAAAAGCTCTTGCAAGAAAATTTTCAGGTTCTCAATGCCAACTCGGCTCATGTCGAGATTCTGAGCCTTCCAGGCTGGAGAAGAGAAGAAATTCATCTCCCTCTCTGCGCGCCTGTTGTTGCCACTGTCGGTCTTCATCTCCGATGGACTAGGGTTCTTGAGAAGAAAGAAGCCGAGCTTGAGCTTGATAGCGTCCTTGTTCTTGGCGATGTTGGCAAGCTTGGCCTCAGCTCCAGCATTGATGAGATCGGGCTTGGTGATTATACCGACAGTCCGCTGTCCGTCTGGGTCGTACTCGCGGGCGATTTTGATTATGCCTTGGTTGGCGAAATCGTTGCTGGCCTGAACCACAGCGAGGATGATGGTCCGGGTGCTCTTGAGGTAGCTCCGAACCATAGCATGGACAGCTTCCACATCGGCTTGGGACTGTTCTTCGTTGGAGACTGAAATAAGGCCAGGGAGGTCAACAATGCTCAGTTGTAATCCCGTGGGCCCCGAAATCTCAATGCGCAGCGCATCAGATGCAAATGCGGCATCATCAGGAGAGTCGGTAAAGCCACGTATCCCCATAAGCTGAGATACCTCCTCAATGGCGACAGGAAGATCGAAGAGGTCTTCCTCCATCGCGCGCTCATAGCTGCTGAGAGTCTGTGCAATACCTGGCGGGCGAGAGGAGTGAGGCCGAATAGTGGCCTTCGCCCTAAATGGCTCACTGGAGTGACGGAGAACAATCTCCGTGGGAAATCGGGTACAAAGACCTTCTTGACGAGGGAAAGGTATGCCAGTAATGCCCTCTAGCACGGAGCTTTTGCCAGCGGACTGGTCGCCACATACGACAAGTTGAGGCAAGTCAACCAAATCGCCAATACCATTGGCACGAAGTTTTTCGATCTGGTTGAGGCGATGGGTAGATCTCTGAGATCGCAGCCCGAGGGATGGGGCCGCGGGTTGGTCCAGGCTAGAGACGGCCATTTTCGTTGTTCTAACAAGGGTTGTGGAAATTTGTAGTGAGAGGCTCAGGCAGATAGACACGATCAAGTCGGTTGAAATGAAGTTGGAGTTCAGTAGAGGAGAGATAGGTGCATCTACGCTGCATAAATATTTCCATGATTTCCATCATGTGCAATTGCTTTCTGAGCAGAATTTCACATGCGTTTACATGCGAGCTGTGGCATTGTAGGCCTCAACTGAAATGGCTAGCGGACGACGAGCCTATAGATTTGTCTAGACTTGAAAGAGAGTTCAGTTTCGGGAGCGGACCTGATTATGCAGTCACAAGGTAAAATTAATCACACCCACCTTATCTATCGAAAATAAATTGTTATCTGCAGCGGTACACATATGTCATTGGCAATAGCCGATGCGTTCCTGGAACCGATGAAGCAATACCCAATTTCGAGTTTGCTACAAGGTATATGCAGATGACACTATTTGCCACGAACCTACGTTCTGGCATGTGATGATATGTTGACAGATTTAAGATAGGAGGCTCGTGCTAATCAGTGAGAGTTTGCATGCTGTTATTCGTCACATGTTTGCCTTGTCGGTCTTTTGTTAGAAGAAAGTAGTTCCTTGATCGCTTGCCGAACCGGAACAGCCTGGAAGCAGGATCTCTACCCAGGACGAAAAAGGAGTAGCAGTTACGTCTAAATGTCCATTGGTATGTCCCTTGGTATGCAAAGGTATGTATACACATGATTTAGATCGCTGTAAGATCGCTGAATCTTGGTCTAAGGCGTGCCCTGCGGTTCAAAGACTCGATATGGGTTTGCCTTTGCCGAAATCGATAAACTTACCAGAGTTGCTTGGTCATGGGGCATGATAAAAGATGCCTCAACAAAGTGAAAACAGGCTCTGCGACTGGAGGTTTAAGAAATGGATACAGGAAGTCAAATTGGGCCTTCGGGAATGCGACATTGCAGAGAATCATGCAGATGACTGAGTTATCCCACTATCACAAATCTGCCTTTCCGCAACATGTCTGGAAGAATAGTGAGTGTTGATAAGCTCGTCTGTCGTGAGTTGTGATGGGATCATCCAATGAACAAGGTTCTCTGTGTCTTGACGTCGGAGGCCCACCCGAGCTAAATTATAGACCAAACTCGATTCCACAAGTACGATCGGCTTTAGACTCCAACCTGATTATGTGGAAAAGCGCTTACGCTGCGGTGAGGTCTGCGATGTCAAGCCCGAAGCGACTCAATCTCAGACTCAGTCCCGAGGACAACCACCCGTTCATCCCCATCACCTGCCTCTACATCACTCGTCGTCCGCTTAATACCGAAACGGAGCTTAACTTCTTTCAAACCTTTCGAGAAACTCTCGCTTCCCCCGATACTGCAAGGTTTCCCAAGTTCATGTAGCCTGCTGCTCGTGCTGGTCGTTACCACGAACTGAAGGAAACTATTTCCAGCCGAACATCCGTTTCGGTATATTGCCCTCCACCCAAGGATGTACACAATCAGCGTGACTACCAGGCACGAAACATACGGGGCATAGAATTGCCACGGCTCGCTGAAGCTGTAGATGTTTGCACCGGCGAGTGCCTCAACAGGCTGACTGTTGACCCATAGAGGCCCAGCCGACATTTGATTTAACGACACGGTGGAGATCACGACATCCTGTAGATATCTCTCGATTGATTGGGGGCTGATATCAAGTGTCGGGTTGAACTTATCCTCGAGCCCAATGTAAGGGCTTCCTGCGGCAAGGGAGCCCGGCCCGGGTTTGATCCATGGTAGTTCGACACCATATCTTTCATCTCGGTCTTTAAATGCATTAGTTATAGGGGAACTGAATTGGTCGCGTCCTCACTTACATAGAAATACACCGCCGACCATGGCATCTACGGCAGCTTTCCTGATAGCGAACGCTTGGGCACGTGTAAAGTTTCTCGTGAGCTCTTGCTGCTTTATGGGCGAGTCATAAGCTGTTTCGTATCTGTAATCGAAGAAGTACGTTGCGAATTCTTTTTGAACCGGTGCTTCATCCGTCCATATTGGTGAAGTCTTGAGGATCTTAGTCTGAATTTCGCGGGTGCCATTTTGAGAGTCAGAGATAGTAAAGTTGTAGGTAGCGAGCTCCATTGTGCAATCCATTGTTCTGCGGCCATCTGGAATGCACTGCCCGCCCTTCATTGTATCCCAAGTTATGACAAGAGTGTTGTTGTACACGAAGGAGCGGTTCGAATATGCCCCGTTTTCAGTGTAGAAAACGTCTCGAGTGCAGGGGTTTAGGGGTGGGTATCTCTGCTTTGTTGGCTTCGGCTGATTGCAATCGAACTTTGGTCCATCAAAGACCAAGTTGTAGGTACAAGGACCAGTACAAGGCGAAGTAAGATGTACCGGCTCGCCAAGACTGATGACAAGGGAGGCAATTTGTCTCAAGTTTGGTCGTATCTCATCTCTGAAGTATCATAGACCCAGTCAGCTACCTTCTTGAAGATTTGGTCATGGTGGAGTGTACTAACACGTAGACGAGATCGTTATCAGGCTCCATCAATGAGAGCCGCATAAAGTCTCTGGCAGTCCCGTTTCCCCAGTTGCTGATATCCAGTGTCGGCACATTCGTCAAAGTGACCGGCAACACCGCATTTTCGAACTCAACTGTCAGTGCACCAGGCGGGAAGACAACAGTAACTGGGATCATGAAGCAGAGGAACGCGATCAACCAGAGCTCGGGCGCGCTAGTCAAAAGCTCCAACCGGAACAAGTTCCATGGACTCAGAACCAGAGTCACAAGCTTATCGATTATGTATGCTCTGAGTGCTTTGCGACGGAGGAGTCGCCATAGAGTCTGGTCGTAGGCTACTGCGATGCCACTGAGAAGACAGATCTCGACGGCGATGGCAAGAAAGTTGGCTAGAGCAGCCTGTAAGTTCTGGCTGAAGCCAGACGTTGCAACAGGCTGACCGTCCAAAAGGGTGAAGAAGGCCATGTGGGTGGCCATGAATCCCAAAGCTAGTAGACCGGAGACTTGTCAGCATTGAAGTAGCTGTGGTTGCGCCATTTATTCAGGTGAAAGGCCAACCATACCTAGCACGTAGAAAGCTATCATCTGCCAGATGACCCTACCCGAGGATCTCTGACGGCTCTTTCGTTTTGGTTTGCTGCTGTCCTTCTCTGCTGCTGGAAGCATTGCGACATTTTCTGGTCTTTCGGTGTTGTTTGCACTGAGAGTTCTGGCGGGTATGGGAGGTTCTTCATCTTCGCTGCCTGCCAATGAGACGCTGTATGCAGTGTTGGATGAAAGGTTTGCTGAAGTCCTTGGGCTGAAAGAAGCTGCTTGATCAGTGGCATGAGCCATGGTGTTGGCTATGCTAGTCATTCTGTCCTGTGTGAGAAGAGAATCTCTTGAGATTAGCTCCTACTGCATAGAGACGTTGATCAGGCGAGATGTTAGAAGAGACGGCAGGACAATATCTACGAAAGCTTCAAAGACGAGGCTGCGATGATGGTCTCATTGGGTGGCGGGCAGATTACACACGAACTGCAGTTGGCAGCGCATGACCTCATCTTCTGCATGACACCCTCTTGCAGACTTCCCGTTTGAGTAGACCGATGAGAAAGTTTCAACGGCGAAGAATTAGATAGCCACTGAAGAGGTTGTTCTGACCTGCAGTCAGCGAAGACGTGATAAGCTACATCGACCAATTATCACAGGGAGAGAGCCTAAATCGATGTACTGCTCGAAAGCTGAAGGGGCTGTGTAGATAATGTACAAAAGTCCAATGTTGTGGTATAGGCAGGCTGAACGGGTCTCCTATCTAATTCGCCAAATTCATGTTGGTCAAACGCTGTTGCGACAACTTTTAGACATGAATCTAAGGATTTCGTGCACTCGTAGTGCCATTGACCTTTTCCTTGACTTGGGCATTGATCCTCTTCATCTCCCGTGCCAAAGGGAGAAAGTCGCTTTCCTGCTGCGTCGCAGTCTCGATACCTTGGGCGACGCGATCTAGCAAGTGCAGATCCTCAATCATGTCGCCAGGGTTGGGGGCATTCATGGCGTTGCTCGCCAGATGGGCATAGGCCGTGTGCGCTCGGTATGCGCCAAGGATGTACGAAATGGTCTCCGCCGCGGGGAACTTCCAGACGTGGAGCATGTTGTACGTCAGGTCGAGGATGCGACGCGAGGCTCGGGTTGAGAAGTCTGTCCGGGGCACGTTGTTATCGGTGCAGACCGGTACAGGAGAGTTTGATTTGAGGAGGGTCGCTTTTCGCAGCATGAAGATGATGGATGTGTAGCCGGTAAGAACCAGGCTTGCCAGAATCCACAGATCCATGTGGTCGTCACTTGATCGTTCGATCCAGTCTTCCTGTAGCAGTGTTAACGAATTCGAACCCCATCGGATAGAGCAGAGCGATAGGGTGTGAGGTCTACTTACGATTCCCCATTCATCAAACAGTATTTCAATCTCGTGGCACAGAGGTTCGATAGCCTCGACAGCTTCTGACTCGTTCTCAAGTCCTTCAAGCGTCTGGAAGAAGCGAATCAGGATGAATGCAAGTCGGCTGCGGAAGAGGAAAGATATCGTCGACACTTGGGCACCCTTTTCCGGGGGTAGGTCGAGTGATAGCCATGGCAAGTTTACTTGCCATTTGTCGAGGCTCGGATACAGAGTCGCCGGCTTGTTGTAGATCAGGTGGTAGAAGAGGTCCGTTTGGATGAGTTCCCACATGCCCTTCCGATCCTCGTCGGTGCTGGGGCAACCTGTGGCTACGAAGTAGTCATTGCTGTCGAGACTGTGCATCTGGAGACCTTTGGCATACTCGCAAGCCAATTGGTGCATTTCTAGACTCATTTCGAAGTCATAGGATTCTGTTGCAATGCCGGTCTGTAGATCCAGTTAGTGACAGTGACCGCGGCGCGTCAGACGATGCAAGAAGGATAAGGGCTGGTATACCATAAAGATGGCAGCAATGAAATCGGTGATTGAACCGGTGGCTTCCTTCTGCCAGCATGGCATAGTCCTGAGACAGCACAGGTAGAGCTTCCGCGCGTATCTGCCGTCTGGGCTGTGGAAAGACCTCGTGTTCAGGATGTAGCATCCCCGCCACAGAATGACATAGTAAATGATGAGAATACAGGGGTCGAGGGTGACATGCCTCATCAGGAGCATGTCTGGTATTAATTCAATAGTTTTCCTATCCACAAGGCTGAGGAATGTCTCAGTGGGACTGTACGTGAAGTAATCTGACATGGCCGTCAGTATTGCGGAGACACGGAGTTCATAAAATCCTTACTGTGAATCCAAGTCCGTGCCTTATCAAGAGATATGTCGATACCTTCGGTTGCAATGGTGTTGTGGCCCATGGTACGTCGCAGTCTTTGGTCTCGCACACGATCGAACGTGTCACCAAGAGTTGCGGCTACATCTAGCACTGCGGGATGACGCGAAGCTTCAGATCCATGGGGCCTAAGAGATGGCAATGTGTCCCGCTCGTGATAGGGTGTGTTCCTAGAATCGACCCTGGATGGTGGACTGAGAGGTGAAGCCGAGTGGCTTGTTCCATCCCGGGCCGGTGGTGAGTAGGGCTCTGGGGAACCGCACTCTTCAGAAGCTTGTCGATGATAGGATCTTGACGCTGTAGGGTTGGCACTTGACGTTGAACGGTTGTTCTCAATACGTTCTAAACGATCAAGGATGAGTGAAAGAGTAGCATTGTCGGTACCACTGGGGGCTTGAGTGTCAGTGCTTTTATCAAATGGCCCGAAGTTGATGAGAGCATATAGTTGGGCTCACCTCGGGTGATCGGCCTCCCTCTTCGTACGCTTTCTAGGCCTCCTCTGAGGGTACTGGCATGAAAGATTTAGTGTACTACATCGTTCACAAATGGGTGTGTCACGACTACATCTAAGCTGGGAAGGTATAAGCATGACACAGGCTGCAAGCGGACTGACAGCACAACGTACCTTTTTGCTGCGGCAATTCGTACACTACCAATGAAATGTAAGTTTTATGTCACCCGACTAATACAAACTCCCAGATCTGCAGGGGCATGCTTCGAAGAATCGCCTGATGAGGATCTTGAGGCGGGCAGGGCTTGGGATTCTCGAGTTAGATTTGATGGAAAATGCGGGCTTACCGAAAGGCCGTTTACAACCACAACTTCTTGCCGCTCCATGGGCACCGGGGTCCCGAATCTACAGCGCGCGGAATACCGAGACTGAAAGTCCAGATGGGATTTGTATAGGGAACACAGATGACAGAGCCGCAACTGGCTCGGAGTATCCAATGGCCTCAGTGCATACGGACGGACCGATCAGCTTTTGTTGTCGAAGATGGGGAAACGGAATGACACGCGCCAGCGCCTTACGGGCCTCAAAACTGCAAGTCAATGTAGGCAAGGTAGGTTTCTCCACACAGGATCTCACTTCAGAGTCATGAACGGTGTGCAACTTGGCGCATGGCTGGAGATGTTTCTCGGAAAAAGTGACACAGTGACCGCGGACTGCCACGAGCTTGACTTCGTCTAATGGACCTTTCCCCAATTGGGACCGCCAGTGGCCCTCTTCCCATCCTTGGCAGCTCTGACGTGCCGCGGTTCTCGTCTCTGAGTGGAGGATAGGAGGAAAAGACCCATTTAACCGGCCTTTCGCATTTTCCGAAAGTGCGGCGCCGTCTTCAGCGCGCTCCTTCCCGGCCGTGGTCGGTTCGCCGGAACGCCTTCCGGATCGACGACGCCCAAAGGCATTTCGCACTTTCCGAGGAAACAACCTGCAACTTCTCCACCAACACACAATTTTGGATGGAACTGAATTCGAATTTCGAACACAGTCATGGATACTTTCTCAATTTCGCTCTTTACGAGACAAAGAACTTGTTCAATGTCGACAATACAAAAGTCCGGGGGCCTCCTTGATGATTTATCATAAAAAAGTCACTATTGGGGACTCCTTACACACTCTGTTCTGCCATCTTCTCTACGCATCAACTCCGTCGACAAGACACCCCGAATCATATCCCAACCGAAAGTCTTGCGGTGTAGAGCTTACTTCAGTGGTGCCAAAGTCTGCCTTCCACCAAAGAAGAGTTGCAAAATGCCGGCTCCAGCGATCTTGGACCCCGGTCCTCATGCGAATGAGCCCCATGCATCCACATTCGACAGTATCGAAAGCGTCCCGATTCCATCAGATGCTGAGGAGGAAGCCGAAGAAGAGATTCATGACTTGGCTAGGCGCCTGACTTCAGCATCCCATGGAGGGGGTCATTCACTATTTCCTGAGCCTTCCGACGCCACACTCGATCCGAAGAGCGACAAATTCGACGCTCGAAGATGGGCCGCGGCTTTCTATAGGCTCCAGACCAATGCTCTTCTTGGAAATGCACCCAATACAGTGGGTCTTGCTTTTAGGGATTTGCAAGTCTATGGCCTGGGAACGACTACGGACTATCAGAAGACTGTTGGCAACTTCTTTCTGGAGGCTGCCGCCTTGACCTCCTGGTTCTCATCCTCAGGAAAGAAGCAGCGCATCGACATTCTGCACGACTTGGAAGGTGTCATACAAAGTGGAGAGATGCTTGCGGTGCTTGGCCCACCTGGGTCTGGTTGTACGACATTGCTCAAGACTATCGCTGGCGAGACACACGGTTTCTATATCGCCGATGGAGCAACTATGAACTATCAAGGCATCTCCCCGAAAGAGATGAAAACGACATTCAAAGGAGAGGCAATCTACACCGCAGAATTCGATCATCACTTTCCCTACCTGACCGTCGGCGAAACCCTCTACTTTGCGGCCCGGGCACGGTGCCCCCAGAATATGGATCTTCCGCATGGGATCTCCGAGCACCAGTACGCGGAGCATCTTCGTGACGTCGTTATGGCACTTTTGGGTATCTCGCACACAAAACAAACGCGGGTTGGAGACGACTTTGTCCGTGGTGAGTAGCGCAAGGCTTTGACAACTTTAAGGGATTCTAGACTAAATCTTCGAAGGCGTTAGCGGAGGCGAGCGTAAGAGGGTCAGCATTGCGGAGGCCGTCCTGAGCTATTCTCCTCTTCAATGCTGGGACAACAGCACGCGAGGTCTTGATTCTGCTAATGCCATCGAGTTCTGCCGAACACTTCGCATGCAGGCAGACATTTTCGGCTGCAGCTCCTCTGTGGCCATTTACCAAGCACCCCAGGAAGCCTATGAAGTAAGTTTCATCTCTTGTTCCCCTGCTTTGCCATTCTTGCTTGATCGCCAATGCCTGCCTTCTCTTTGCTGGGATGTTTCGTTGCTCATCATTTGGATAGCTCTTCGACAAAGTCATCGTCCTTTACGAAGGCCGCCAGATCTTCTTTGGGAGGTCCACCGATGCGAAAGCCTATTTTGAAAATCTTGGGTTCCTGTGTCCGGAACAGAAGACCACTGCCGACTTCCTGACTTCAATGACAAGCTCTTCTGAGAGAATTGTGCACCCTGAGTGGAAAGGCCGAACACCGCCGCGTAGTCCTGAAGAGTTTGCTCAAGCCTGGAAGGAAAGCCAGCACCGCCGAAACCTATTGGAGGAGATCGATTCATTCGAGCAGCAGTACCCTTTTGGCGGAGATACGCACAAGCAATTTTCGGCCACTCGAAGAGCGCATCAGTCCAAAGCGCAGCGATCTTCCTCACCTTACACGCTGTCCTACGTGCAGCAAATCAGCCTCAATCTTTGGCGCAGCTTCAAACTCCTGATTAGCGAGCCGTGGATGACGATCACAATGTTGACGACAAACTTCTTCGAATCTCTCATCATCTCTAGCATCTTCTACAACTTGGCACCGAACTCTTCTAGTCTATACAACCGAAATCTCCTAATATTCTATACCATTCTCATCAATGCTATGGGTAGCATTATGGAGATTCTCACACTCTATGGAAAGAGAAAGATCATCGAGAAGCATGCCAGATACGCACTCTATCATCCGAGTGCAGAGGCAGTTGCCGCGATGCTCGTCGACTTACCGTACAAGATGATCAACGCGCTGTTCATCAATGTGCCAATCTATTTCATGACGAATTTACGACGCGAGTCAGCCGGGCCCTTTTTCTTCTTCCTGTTGTTCTCGTTCACCATCACGGTCTCCATGTCCATGATCTTTCGGTTCCTCGGCTCCGTTACTAAGACGACATCGCAAGCTTTGGCGCCCTCAGCCATCATCCTCTTGGCTCTGATGCTGTTCAGCGGTTTTGCTATGCCTCAGCCATACCTCAGCGACTGGATTGGATGGATTCGCTGGATCAATCCCGTCTTCTACGCACAGGAAAGTCTCGCACTTAACGAATTTATTGGACGGAACTTCACCTGTTCGCAATTCGTCCCAACAGGACCCGGTTACTCAACTTCTACCTTGGATGAGCGTGTCTGCGATATTGGTGGAGCGATGCCAGGCTCCAACTCTGTGAATGGCGAAGAGCACCTCCGAGTCGTCTACGGGTTTCTCGCGAGTCACCGCTGGAGAAACTTTGGCATCTTGGTTGCCATCACCATCTTCTTCATGTCCCTCTACCTTGTCGCCGTCGAACTGGTGTCATCTGAGAGATCCAAGGGCGAAGTTCTCCTCTTTAAGCGCCGAGCGTTGAAAACTGCCAAAAAGGGTCATGATGATGTTGAGACATTGGGAGGAAACCATTCGCAACCAACGATACAGGTAGATGATGACAGCGACAACTCAGACCTTGCGAAGCAAACGTCTGTGTTTCATTGGAATGACGTCTGCTACGATGTGCAAGTCAAAGGCGAGACCCGCAGGATCCTTGATCATTGTGACGGTTGGGTGAAGCCCGGGACGCTGACGGCACTGATGGTGGGTTCCTGCCTTATTGCCAACTGGCCGCAAGACATGGCTAACTGATGTATCATTACAGGGGGTTTCGGGAGCTGGTAAGACAAGTCTTCTTGATGTTTTGGCCAGTCGTGTCACCATGGGTGTTGTCAGTGGAGAGATGCTCGTCGACGGGCAGCTTCGGGACTCTTCGTTTCAGCGCAAGACGGGATACGTCACACAGCAGGACCTTCACCTTCATACGGCGACTGTCAGAGAGGCTTTGAGTTTCAGTGCTCTACTACGACAACCTAAGCGGTACAGCCGGGAGGAGAAGTTAGCCTACGTGGACACAGTGATTGATCTCCTGGGCATGCAGGAGTATGCAGAAGCTGTAATTGGGGACCTGGGTGAGGGGCTGAACGTTGAACAACGGAAACGCTTGACCATCGGAGTCGAGCTCGCTGCCCGGCCGCAGTTGCTTCTTTTCTTGGACGAACCAACATCAGGTCTGGATAGTCAGACATCGTGGTCGATCTGTGATCTGATGGAGAAGCTGACGAGAAACGGGCAAGCGATTCTCTGCACAATACATCAACCATCAGCATCGCTATTCCAGAGATTCGATCGGTTGTTGCTGCTTGCCAGAGGCGGAAGGACGGTGTACTTCGGCGACATTGGCAAGAATTCGCACGTTCTCGTCGATTATCTCAGCCGGCACGGAGCTCCGGCCTACCAACCTGGATCCAACCCTGCCGAGTACATGCTGGAGGTGATTGGGGCGGCGCCGAAGGCACATAGCGATATCGACTGGCCTGCCGTATGGAGGGAAAGCAACGAATACCAGGCCGTTCAGACTGAGCTTGCGAGGTTATCCTCACATGCAGACGAGAAAGGTGCCACATCTACAACAGAAGATCACGACGTGTCTACGTACGCAGAGTTTGCTGCAGGCTTTGGTGTGCAGATACAAGAGGTGACGAGACGAGTCTTCCAGCAGTACTGGCGCAGTCCTTCGTATATCTTTTCCAAGTCCATCTTAACGTTTGGCTCGGTAAGTGCTATTTTGTATTGCGTTGGGTCGAGCACGCTGTGAGAATCAAACAAGCTGACTGACGCGGACAGGCCTTGTTCATTGGGCTGACGCTCCTTGGCGGCAATAATACCGAACGCGGCCTCCGGAATCAGATGTTCGGCGTCTACATCTTCCTCTTCATCTTCAGTCAGATGGTGCAGCAGATCATGCCAGTTTTTGTCTATCAGCGCACCATGTACGAAGCCCGCGAACGGCCGGCGAAATCGTATTCTTGGATGGCATTCATGGGTGCTAATGTTATCGTCGAGATGTTTTGGAATTCCGTAAGTGAACACCATCATCAACACAAAGCCCTAACCCGACGGAAATCTCGAGACTGACAATTTGGCGGCTAGATCATGGCCATCTTCTCGTTTCTGTTTTGGTTTTATCCGATGAGACTCGATCGCAACGCCGAATGGACAGATTCCGTTCACTCGCGTGGTATCACGCTTTTCCTCATCTGCTGGGTTTTCTTTCTATTCTCGAGCACGTTTGCGCATCTCATGATTGCTGGCCTCGGCAGCGCGGAGGTCGCGGGTGGGATTATGAATCTGCTTTTCATTCTCATGTTTGCTTTCTGCGGGTAAGTGCACCACAACTGCTACAACCTGTCCTGCTCGGGGAGGAGTGAGAAGTTTGATCGAAACGGACTGACGATGATTAAAGTGTTTTGGCTGGCCCGGATGCATTGCCGGGTTTCTGGATCTTCATGTATCGCGTCAACCCGTTCACCTACATTGTCGAGGGCTTCCTCAGCGTCGGCCTCGCCAATGCACCGGTGGTATGCAGCGCTTCCGAGCTGCTCGAGTTCGCCGCGCCCGCTAACAGCACCTGTGGCGAGTACATGGCTGCGTACATACGAGAGAAGGGCGGCTACCTGGTGGATTCCGGCGCGAATGCTTGCCAGTACTGCGGTATGGCTGATACGAATGCATTTTTGTCGAGCATGAACATGAGTTTCGACAACAGGTGGCGCGATTTTGGTTTCATCTGGGTATTTTGCATTTTCAATGTCGCTGCGGCGGCGGCGTTATAAGTCAAACCCCCCACTTCCCGGCACCCCCCTGTTTCTGGCACCCACAAAAACGCGAAAATCCACCACAACGCAATGCCCACCCCCAACCTCCTTTTATCACAACATTTTCAATTCGAGTCCAAATGGGCTCATTTTTTGCACATACCTTCTTCTATATCTAATGCCTCAATATACCGAAGATCAGCTTCGTCAGGCTCTCGAGGACATCTCAAACGGCAAGAGTCAAAAGAGAGCCTCATTGGAGTATGGGATACCACGATCAACCCTCCAACTACGTCTCCAAGGTGGTCAGACTAGGAAAGTGGCTTTTGCTGACTGGCAGAGGCTGTCTCCTGACCAGGAGAGTAAGCTGGCACAATGGGTTCGCATTCAGGCTTCGCTGGGCCTCGCACCAACGCACCAACAGGTGAAGGAATTCGCAGAGCGAGTTCTGGCTGCTGCTGGGGATACCAAACCATTAGGAAAAGGCTGGATCTATGCCTTCGTGAGAAGGAACCCTATCATTAAGGTTCAGAGAAGTCGTTCCATCGATTCTAGACGCGTTAATGGGGCATCTACTGAGGTCATTAGGAACTGGTTTAAGTTCCTTGCTATCCCTGAGATCAAGGACATCAAACCAGCCAACAGATATAATATGGATGAGACTGGCATCCTCGAGGGTCAGGGAGCTAATGGGTTAGTGCTGGGCATGGCTGAGACGACGTCTGTTCGCAAGAAACAACCTGGGTCGAGGGCATGGGTCTCTATCATTGAGTGTATCTCAGCCTTGGGTAGGGCACTTGTCCTCTTATCATTTTCAAGGAAGACGGTCCAACAACAGTGGTTTCCATTACATCTGGTTCCATACGATGGGTGGAGTTTACAGCAACAGATAATGGCTGGACTACAGACTTAACTGCCATTGAATGGTTAGAGAAGGTGTTTATCCCACAGACTATGCCCGAGGCTGAGGGCGAGGCTCGACTGTTGATTGTGGATGGGCATGGGAGTCATACGACGACAGACTTCATGTGGAATTGCTATATTAACAATATCCATTTACTGTTCTTACCACCACACTCCTCTCATGTCCTCCAGCCACTTGACCAGTCTGTCTTCAGCCCTGTTAAGTCAGCCTATCGGAAGGAGCTCGGTTACTTGTCTCAATGGAACGACTCTACCATTATAGGTAAAAGGAACTTCCTGGACTGTTACCAGAAGGCTCGACTTGCTGGTCTATCAGTCTCGAACATCAGAAGTGGTTGAAGTGGACTGGTCTACACCCTGTAGCGATGGTTAAGCCCTGATGAACCCTATGGTATTACCTGAGCCTTCTGCTGCCCACCACACCCAAACCAACCAGTCGGGGCAAAAGCGATGCCATAATGGTCAACAAACTACCCTGTTGAGCCATGGGATTCTGCTTCCTCTGCAGTGGTCTGGTCGACACCCAGGAAGCTGGCAGAGCTCAGCGGTCAACTGCACTTATACACCCAACTCGACAATGATACCAGCACTCAACGGCTGCTGTTCAGGAAGGTGAAAAAGGCTTCACAGAGCAGGCCTGGCAACTGGCAGTTGCCCAGCAGCAGCTGGCTCACCTGAGGGCCTGTTACCAACGCTGCAGTTAGGAAGAGGAAGACTGTTCAGATCGATCCCAACACGAAGTTTGCGAACATCAGGGATATCCATCGGGCTCAAATCGAAGCGGGTGAAAAGGAGGTTATTACGGCTGAATCCAGCGACTCTGAATGCCCTAGTGAGGCTGGCAGTTGTATTGTAGTGGGTGTGGTTGAGGATCAATAGTTAATAGTAATGAGGAGGTTGGGTTGTGATCCCATCGTTTTTGTGGGTGCCAGAAACAGGGGGGTGCCAGGAAGTGGGGGGTTTGACTTACTGGGCTGTCAGGGTTCCGAAGAATGATTTCAAGAGTCGCAGTTCAGGCAAGGCTTGAGTTCGGAAAGTCAAGGGACAGAAAGCATTGGGAAAATAGAAATAGAAGCGAAAAGCATTCGGCCTTGGTGCCGCTCGGACATGGGACAATGGGGGACTTGATTCTCATGATTTGAAAGAATTCAAAGGAATAGCTGAGGAGGGACTAGTCGTATGGAACATCGAACAATGCAGATAGTCAATTCATGCAGGCCGTAGTACATTACATTGAAGATAGAATCGTTATACATCGACGCCGTACAAGTATGAGATGGAAAAAGAAAAAGATGAACTAGTACAACAACAACCTCAGTGACGCCATCCACCGCTGCTCGCTTGGTTCTAGAAAGTCAGACAAACCAGATCTCTTTACTCCTGCCATCCGGCCATGGAGCTCGCCATCTCCCAGTCTCCGCTCGCAACTTGCCTCCAGCTAGACGAGATCTGACATTCCTCGGCCTCGAGCTCGTTGTTGTCATTCATGCGGAAGATGGTAACGTCGCAGCAGATGGACATGGCCATGAGGCCGACCTCGCAGACGTGGGGCTTGTGCATCTTGAAGCTCATGGGCGGGTCAGCGTGCTCCTTGAGCATCTCCTTGAGGGTGGGCTCGGAGCGCTCCGAGTAGACCTCGGCGTCGCCAAAGAGGAGCGGGTTGCACATGATGGCGCCCTTGCCAATGTACTTGAGGGCGCTCTTGGGCTTGTGGCAGAGGGCGCCCCAGAGGAGCGTCTCCATCTCGATCGCCTTGGCGTGGTTGCGGAGCTTGATCGTGTTGAGGGGTCCTTCTTCTTCCGAGTCGTCTTCTTCGTCGGTGGAGTAGTGGCGCATCTGTCTGGGGCCGCTCGACTCCTTCTTTTCCTTTTTGGATTTGCTCGACTTCTTCTTCTTCTTCTTCTTTTCGACGCCGTCGGGGGAGCCGGCTTCTTCGGGCTTCTTCTCGCGGCGGGCTAGTTGTTTGCCTTCGAGGTTTGCGTCGTCGGCGATGCCGGAGAATTGGGGCTTCTTCTTCTTTTGCTTTTGTTCGGCGCCGGGGCCGTGGGGAGAGGGGTCTGTTGTGAGACCTAGGACGGAAGGCATTTTGGGTGGTTGGTTCGGGTTGGGTTGGTGATTCTTGTTTACTTTGGATACGCTTCTGGATGGATATTGTATCGCTCGATGCCGCTATGATATGCTCCGGGGAATCGTGAACTCGTCAACTCGTTTGTTCGCTATGTGTGTGTGAGAGAGTAGGCAGTGGTTGGTGTAAGTGGGTGTGGAAGCTACGAAAGAGTAGCACTAAGACGGGGACGCAGGCTACTAAAGGCGATGGGAAAGGGGGCATGCATCATACGTCGTTCTCTTTGCTTCAGTCACGCGGTCCCTGCGCGGACGACAGACGTTGACGTCCATGTCCCAGAGTTTTCGCAGTGCTTCATTCACTTTGCTGGCCCGAATCTTGGAATTTTCCTGCTTTGATGCACCGAGTGTGACGTCAGCCGTCGTGGCCGCACGGCGCGTTGGTGGATGAGAAACAGGGTTTCATCGGCGGGCAGCACCTCGTTCGCGGGGGAAGAGCTGGGAGAGCTCTGTACCTAGGCCTGTGGCTGCTCTTCCCACGCAGCAAATCCCCGTTGCCAATTGGGGCCACAGCGGCGAGCCCCGCACTGCGATCGATATGACATCAGGTCCTGCGGGATGCAACTGTGCGGCGATCTCTTAGACTCTTTCAGGAGTCCAGAACGCTGACTCAGCTGGTTTTTTGCTGGGTAGGGCCAGGGGATATCCCTGATTTGGGGGGACGAACAGGGCAGAGGATGAGGGAGGAAGATGTCAGTTCTATGTAGTGAGGGACCACGCAACAAGATTCTAGCCTTTGGTTGATATGTGTGTGGTTGAATCTGTTGTTGCCGCATAGCCGCTAACATTCTTAGTTGGCTACGCATGAAAACTACCGGTCTCCCACACCCTGAGGTTGAACTGGACTAAACTGCTACCGTGTCTAGCGAGGCCGTTGGATTGAAGCGGGTTTCAGAGCTACTTGACGTCCACCGTCTTTGACCAACAGGTTCCCCGCACCCGTTTGGCAGTGGAACAAGTCGGGAATATTTCCATCGATGAGTTCAGCCACCAGTGAGACTCTTGAGCTTGAAAAGCTGCCAACAGAGACGCCCTGTGCTCACACATTTCGGACAAGTCATCGGAGGCGAAGATGACGGACGAACGGACAGCTGTGAGAGGGAGCTTCTCTGACGGCCAGAAACCACCAAAAACATAGCATTATCGGTTCTGGAGTCCCACTCACCTCGCAGGACGTCAAGCAGTCTCTCGCGTGGTCATAACATTCAATCGCTTCAATATCCTGCTCATTCGAGTCTCCATTTTGGAGTAGATATTGAATCGAGGTACGCGGCAAGCCAGGTTTTCAAGAGGTCGTCACTAGGATATTGTCTCTTTTCTAGAGAGAGATTTTGTCTCGCCGACTCTGCGCTTTCGAAGTTTACCGAGCGGCCTTTCTCTGTATGGAACCGAAAGGTTATAGGTATGATTCGAAAAGTGACAACAGCCCTCTGGCTCCTTCATCCCGAGTAGAAACCCGGGGCTTAGCCGGAGTAGCCCGAACGCAAGTGGGGCGGATTGCGGAGTAACGCCGAAAGACAACTACGGGATTTCGCCGCGCGGTAGCAACAACGCATCTGCTGGTCCGATCCTGTGCCGATGCGGGGAATCCCATGGCTTGCGATCTTGCAAGAAGGTTTTCGAGAAAGCAGCTCGCGCAACTCGGAGTAGTAGAGGCCCTAGGATCAAAAGTCGCTGACTGACGCAACGATTGAAAAATGGAGTCTTCCAAGTTCATTGCTGCTTGGTGAGTAATCCAAATGTGCTTTCCAACTTAACTCTACGTCCGTGACTGATTCTTCCGGATTGGAAGCTCTTCCCTCTCGCCGGATAGCTGGGATACTCACGTCCATGTGTTCGACGCATCAATAGGGCCCTTTGCGCCCGGCAGATCGTACACGCCCGCTCGGGCGACGGCACAGCAGCTCTTGGATTTCAGTTTCAGTCTGACCCAGGAAACACCACTCAACATCGTACTCGTTCAGCCATCGCCGTACGGAAGCGATAATACAGTGCTTTTGCGCTCGATGAAAAGCTTGCGCGAGGGTGGCAGTCGCATCGTCCGGGGTATCGCCGTGGTGGACATTGAGAACATTTCCGACGCAAATCTCATGGAACTGCATGATGCGGGCGTCCGCGGGTTGAGAATCAACAAGCAAGCAGATGGCAAGTCGACAGATCTCAAAGCACTTAAAGAAACTATTTTGCAGACCGCTTCGAGGATCCAATACCTCCCAGGCTGGAAAATTCAGCTCTTTTGCGCTCCTGCTATGTGGGAAGGTGAGACTCACTTCTAGCTGGAATCCGAGGTAGAGCAAAGGCTAAAGGACGAAACAGACTTGTATGACACAATAGTCGCCCTTCCGGTTCAAGTAATTGCAGACCACGTCGGCGGGATGCGGGCTCTATCCAAATTGCAGCTCAACGCGACAACAAGTAGCCTAGACGATCCCACGAAGCAGCCCGGCTTCGAAGCTCTTGTGAAACTCGCAAGAGCCTCAAAGGCCATTGTCAAGCTTTCGGGATTCTATCGACTATCTGATAAGACGGAATCCGGTTGCAGTGACATGGAGCCAATTGTCAAGGCTTTGGTTGAGGCGGTTCCGCATCGCTTGGTTTGGGGCAGCGACTGGCCTCATACTGGGGAGGGTAAAGATCGTGTGAATCGAGGCTTGGAGGCGGTGGAAGAGTTTAGAGAGATTGACGATTCCCGTATCATCCAAAACTTGAGAAGCTGGGTTGAGGACGAGAAAGCGTGGATGGGGTTGATGGTTCAGAATCCCGCAGGATTTTATGCTTGAGGAAAGCTGTGCTTCTTCGTCATGCTGGTGTCGTGGTAGAGCAAACTTCACACGATCTCATCGGATAATGAGTTGGCGGTAGGTAAAAAGGTACGTCGGGGTCTGACGCGGCCCTCAGTGGTATCAATCGATGTTCTGAAATTACTCCACGTGGCAAGGTTGAACTGCATTTGAAGCTGTGAAGAGGATCGTCGATTTCCAAGAAACGTCGTTGGCCCGATGAACGGACGGCTTAAGTCCGACGGCTTCTCCGCAAACGTCAGCGGGCTAGTCTGCTGGGGACTGAAACCTACAAATCAGGGGCATAAGCAACTCGCATGGAGCTAGACTAGCGTGATATCAATAGAAGAGGTCATAAGTTACCACCTCATGCTCTACTGTTGTAGGACGACTAGTAAGTGAAGCCATCTCGATAGTCTCTTATACAACCTTTGTCACCAGAACGTATCGGCCATGATATGTGACCTCAAGTGGCTTCACAAGAACCTGTATGAACTTGGTCTAAGCCATTTATACTGAGCTACCTACATCTATGATTTGAAGCCCGGGAAAAGGCATGTTGGCAAATCGCAGCACCAGCTCTGTTGAGAAGACCCGTCGCAACGGACTGCCAAGTGTTACGGCCGTTAAGTCCGATGAATGGTATGGGCAACTCTCTCCCCATCAACGTTGACGGACTCCGAGAACCCGCTGGGGCTACCCATGCTGCCCAGTGTCGTGGATCATCATGGAATTTATTTGCTCCTCCATCTCGATTGCCGGCGGAGAATATCTAAGACTCTTTATGCATCCAATTGAGCATGAGACTCACCTAAGTATTCGAGCATATTGAAACTTTTACACTATGCTTGTCCGCACTTAACATGTACGCATTGAGCCATCGCTGTATTGCCACCCTGATGGCAGGCTTGTAATGTCTCACAGCGCCTAGCCCAAGATCGATCAACTACTGAGACCTGTCCACTTGCTCGCTTCCGGGTTCGAAGTGGGCTCCGGTCTAGTGGGATGGCGATCCACGCCAGGGACTCTGCAACTGGGCCCCGCGAAGTGCCGCGTTGCATCCCAAGATCCGCAGTACCTGCGGACCAATATCGACCCGCATCTGCCCATTTCCAGGATTTCATCGTCGAAGTCCAGAAAGTGTTCCAACGTCATGGTGAAAGCACGGGGCACAAGCGGCCCCGATGGACGACAGTTTGATTCTTGCCGCTTGGCAATGAAACCCTGCATGCGTTCTCGGACTTTGTTCCTATACCCGGGTTGCAGAGTTTCTACTCACCGCTTGGAGCTGCTCCACGGGTGGCTTCACATGGCAAAGGTTGATATAAAGGCGAGCATGTTCAACGCAGGTAAATATCTCCCATCACACAATTTCATCCAAAACAAGAAAAGGCACTAGTCCATCGTACCATTGTTAGCTCAAACAAAACCTCACCATCGAGTACCTATTGCCATACCCCACAGTTTGTACTCATCTCACGATGTCCGGCCTTCAAACCCTCTTCGCGCCGGCTCCCGAGCCCAAAACTGAGCTCGGTCGATACCGCGTTCTGTCCACCACCGCAGGTGTGAGGGTTTCCCCCCTCTGTCTGGGTGCAATGTCCATCGGCTCTGCGTGGTCGTCGTTCATGGGTTCCATGGAAAAGGAGGACTCTTTCAAGCTTCTCGACGCATTTGTCGATGCCGGCGGCAACTTCATCGACACCGCCAACAACTACCAGAACGAGGAGTCTGAGGAGATTCTGGGAGAATGGATGACCGACAGGAAGAACCGGGACACCATGTTCATTGCAACCAAGTTCACGACGCAGTACCGCAAACAGGCGCTCGGACCCGGGAAATGTGTCAATTATTCTGGCAACCACAAGAAGTCGCTGCACCTCTCGGTCCGGGATTCCCTCAGAAAGCTGCAGACGGACTACATTGACCTGCTCTACATCCACTGGTGGGATTGGACGACCTCTGTCGAGGAGCTGATGGACTCGCTCCACATTCTGGTCGAGCAGGGTAAGGTCCTGTACCTCGGCGTTTCTGATACACCCGCTTGGGTCGTTTCCGCTGCGAACACCTACGCCAAGGCGCATGGGAAGACCCAGTTCTCCGTCTACCAGGGTCGCTGGAACGTTCTCATCCGCGACATGGAACGGGACATCATCCCCATGGCTCGCCACTTTGGCATGGCCCTCTGCCCCTGGGACGTCCTCGGCGGCGGTAAGCTGCAGTCTAAGAAGCAGCTCGAGGAGCGAAAGAAGGCTGGCGAGGGCCTGCGTGCCATGTTTGGGGGGGATCAATCCGAAGATCAACGCAAGGCCAGCGAGGTTCTCGAGGAAGTTGCCAAGGAGCATGGCATTGAGAGCATTCAACAGATTGCCTTGGCGTACGTTATGCAAAAGGCGCGCTACGTTTTCCCGATTGTTGGTGGTCGTAAGGTGGAACACTTGCAAGATAACATCAAGGCCTTGAGCATTCATCTCACTGGGGAGCAGATCAAGAAGATTGAGAGCTTCAAGGAGTTTGATATCGGGTTCCCAATGAACTTCATCCTTGAGGATCCTAGAGAGGGTGGTGCAACGGCGCCATTGGTAGCTGCTTCTGCTCCGATGGCGTGGCAGTCTCAGGGTAAGCCGATTGGGCACGAGTAGAAATAACACCATGAGAGTTTGTGCAGTTGAAACGTTAAGATCAATAATCGTACGGTTCATCAAGAATTGAGTGTTCCTTGTTCATTAGCATTATCTTGATATCATCTGAAAGGCCTGTTCGTGTACGTTGTCTCGTCAAATCATAAATCTCAGCAATCGGCTAAGCTATCGCTCTTCCGTCTGACCACTCAGGGTCTCATTTCTTCCGGGTATCCGGTGTTTTGGATATCAATGTCTTCTGTGAGTCCACCGTTGAGCCTGATGATGTGGAAGAGGCACCAGCAGTAGACATTGAGGCGCCTGACGAGACAATAGGAATCTTGTCTTCCTCAGGTTGCGCCACAGGTCTTCCTGATGCTCTCTCCGATCTCCTAACCGTGCTCCTAACCCTCATTTTGATAGCTTCGGGAAGATATTTAGTTTTTATTGCTGTGTCACGCAGCAGAACACGCAATACGGGAATAGTCGACGCCATGATCGTAATGGCTGTCTCAGCCCCGGCCCAAACGGCCAACTCTGCTCCCCCATCTGTAACTTGCATTAGATGAATCCCGATCATACGTTAAGGGTCTTAACTTACGAGAAAAATCACCAGTGGTATCATTTACTGAGCGCATGTACGATGCTTTGACAAACGCCGCTATCCCGGCCCTATTCAAGTGCGTTAGAAATCAAGAACCCAATCATCGGTCTTCATCGGAGTGAGAAACTTACAACATTCCCATACTCAAAGCCACAGACACACCAATCTTCTCCTTCTTGCTCAAAGTAAGACCAGATGACTCCTCGGCCGGCCTGGGCCGCATAAGAATGAGCCATGGGATGATTGATAAGGCGATGTCGAGGAGGCCAGAGTATACTAGTAATACTTAGCACAGCTCAGGAAGACTAGGTAAGAACATGTTGGACATCATCTTACCACTAACGAAGATTCCGAATGAAACAACCCACTTGAGATCGTAGCAGGTTCCGTCCGCGAATGGCTTCCATCTCTTCTCCAACGGTACACACCCAACCCAAAACGACAAAGAGGAGAACGCGAAGAGAACGTTCATAGAAATGATGGAAAACCACACAAAGGCCTTTTTCCACCCATTGCACATTCGTAACAGCGATATAGCGAACGCAGTTTTGCTCCAGACTTGACCGACAAAAGAACACGTGATGGAAGAAAGGCCGACGATAGCTAATACTGTAATGTTGTCGACGGTAATAGGGAAGTCGGGTCGGCCGAATCGGGATTTGATGATGAACTCATTAAGGGCGGCATCTGATGCTAGGACCAGCTATGTAGCAACTGTTAATACTGGAACAGTGACGTGACTCTTCAAGTAATGGGAGTTCTTACCCAGGAGGCAACCAGGATAATGTCCTCGATTCGAATCTTTGTATACGTGTAGGATATCTTGCAGTATATCCTCAACCCAAGAAACACTGCTGAGAGAACGACTAGTGTCCATAAGACCGTTTGAATATTCTCAGCTTGGGCGGTATCGTCGGCACGGATATTGAGGACCAACAGCGTCGTATCCAACTCGGATCTTGTCAAGTACGTCTGATTGGCAGCTCTGGCCACAGAGCCCAGCTCTTTGATCTGGCTTCTTGAACAGTGCTCACATCCTGGCGGAGGCACTACGGCCATATTCGATGTTCCGATATGGATGTCGGTTGCAAGAGCGGCAGCAACACCTTCATGGCATGGACAGTTAGCACATGTCCGATGTATCTGACAGCGCGGAACGTTAGGTCTTATAAGATCGACTGAATATGAAGCGTCGTACACGGGGAACACACCAACCCACTCATCCTTCAAGAAACAGGTAAGTGGCGCCGTTTCAATATGTATATGAGCTCCACGTGGAAGCCAGTGGGCCACGAGAACTGACAAGCTTCTGCCAGGATGACCATGACTGATCAAGCCCTGTATTCGAAAGCTTCGCATCGCAGCATCGAGCGGACACACGCGCCTCCGATCAAGATCCACAGTCCGCTTGCTGTTGCTGCCACTGGATAAAGAGGTGAAGCCCGGGCCAACATCTCTTACTTGGAGTTATTGAAGCTCCGTGCGCCGGGGGGGCTTGGAAAGATGAATAGAAGACAACCGAAAAAGCCTCGCTCTCATAGGACAGCACCTTTCCTCGGCGTGTCCTACGAGAATTTCCTTGTGCCAAGACGTGAGCGGCTCTTGGACCTCTTCTTCGTCTTGACTTTTCTCCCTCCTGCCGGCGTGCTCGCGGGCACGGCGATGTGGAGACGCAGGTCTTCTCTTTCTCATCTCTCGCCCACCTCGGGCCGCCTACTGGCTCAGCGAACGGGCTATTTGAGTTATCACCACTGTCACAGCCATGTCGCGACTGAAGAAGAATCCCAGTGACGCACGGCCAAAATGGCCGATCCGGCCTTGTCTTTGCAAAAGCTTGACTTTCAACCAGATGTATGCTGCGTCCGATCAGGGCATCCCGGCTTTGACTCAACTTCTGTCCAAAATAATGACAGGATCTTTGAGGCGCGCTTCGCTTTCCTCACCCACCCACTGGCGGCTTTTGTCTTTCCCACTTTTTTGGGGAATCGTCTCTTATCCTTAATCGGAATGCCGCAGTTCCGCTGCATCGATTCTTTTCTCCCATCTCTGCGGCCAACAGTTTGTCATCTCGCGGCAATGGTGAGGTTTCGCGGAAACAGCACTAGACATGGGGAACTGACAGTTGTTTCGCTAGCTTGCTTTTCCCCCGTTACCTGTAGCTTAACGGTCCTTCCCGTTGCGGGGGGATTTTGGCGTCTTGGAGGCATGCCCTTGTGTTTCCCCTTACTCGATGATTGTAAGATCTACGGTGCAGCTTAGCGGGGGCCATTGAGACCATCTATAAGACAGATCAGTATGACGAACCCCCTCCTCAGCTCGCTTCGGGTGCTTTCTCAGCTGTCAACACGACTCAGCGCTTTACGATTCAGCTCTCTCGTAATATCTCCACTTACATGCGGCGGCGGCATGGCGGATGGGCCTCCCTCCTTTGGCCTAAAGTCGCATGCAAGTCATTTCCAACGAAACGACTCGCCGTGCAGAATGCTGCTTGGGACGAAGAAGCAGGTCTTTCTCTTTTACCCGTGAAACCTCTTGCTTTCCTGCCCGCTCCTATGTCCATCCACTCAATTTCCCCGCGCCCCTCCAACTGCGACAAATCGGGAAGTGGTTGTGCCGGTGATGGGATCGTCCCAAGAGAAACGTCCGTCCATAGGAGTTTCTCCTTCCCTCTTCCTTCTCTGTCAGTATGTGAACATCAGGTCAGACACTTTTGTTGGACTGGATCGTTGGGAAGAAGAGTTGGATTCGGGATGATGGCGACGAAACGTTCACAGTTCCATTCCACTTTGCCGACAAAGCGCGATCGTGACAGACGCGATGTTAATCGCAAGAAGCTGTAGTGACTTGTTACCTTGTCAAGGACTTTGAAAAAGACAGGAAAGCCGTTTCTTCCGTATCACTCACTTGGCAGCCACTCATGTACAGCTGCGCTCTCATCGGATGAATCAGCTAGTACTCTTTCTTAATAACACAGAAGCCGCCAGACAACGACCGTGCTTGAGTTGCGTCCTGCAGATTGTTCCCAGCCCTCTAGATGCCGACTTCTTTGTGCAGGTCTCATATAACCTATTATAGCTGAAGGAATGGCAAGGTATCTGTGATCAGATGACTTCGGTGTTCATTAGAGCTGCTACACATCTTGAAAGTGGTCCGTTACTCGGGGACCAAAATGAATAGACTCCTACAGCGCTAGCTCATCAGCCTCAAGCGTCGATGATAGTGCGTACTTGACGCAGCTTGGCTGTAGCTTATTCTTAAAACCGTTGGCTGCAGCCCTCCATCCCTTCCGGTCCAGCCTTTTCATCGGCGTATGAATCAAGGGCTTTGAAGCTTGAATCTCGGCTGGCAAATCAAAGCCTGCATTCAGCTCCTCCCGTCGGCACCTCTGAGGGGCCTCATCGACACAGCAAAACAGTGATCGTCGTGATGAAGCAGAAGCTAATACTCAATGGTCACGTATTGTTGATTCATTACACTTCCTAGTCGGACTTGGCGCATATGAGCTTTCGAGGTTCGACTCCATGAAAAAGGACAGAAGTTGTTACAAGTAAGTTACGAACAATGAGCACCAAAGCGACCGTGAACTTTCGAGTTAAGGATGAAGAGAAGGGCAGGTAGAGTAGGGAAGGGAATGCTGCAGTTTGGAGGGCCGGAATCTCAAATAGGCGGATGCATTGTGGTCAAGTATGATTGGGCTCCATTCCCGAAGTCGATTTCTTACCAAGGCCTAGCACCGACCAACTCTTGAAATCAATATAGATGAATAAGGATTCATTGTGACCGTGGCTTTGATTATCTTAAGATCTGACCATAATGACATGACCAGATGAACTAGACTTGCCATCGCAGCCGTCCTGGAGTGGCTTGGTCCATTCAACAGAGATGCACCCGGCTCACGGCAATAGTACGAGACAAAAGATCTACGAAATTAGAAACTACTGCATGCAGGCCGCAACGCTAGATCAGGCTTCCACGCTTTCGAGGTCAATACTCCCCGACTTTTAAGATTTGCCCCTGAGGCAAAAGCTAGTGCCTTCCTGCACAGGCTGAGCAAATCAACGAGTCAACGACAACCAACGGGCCGTATTTGAGACCATTGGAGATGATGCAGAGAAGCCAGTGTCCAGAATTGACGTGTAATCCGCAGCGGTCAGCCTCGCTGCTGCACGTGGACGGTGGACTGGCGCGAGGCGGGAGCATGTTGCAGCACCAACATGTTCTTGGACGATAAGCATAGCTGGATTTAGGATTATGGACATATGCCAAGCAATGTTAATCGGCTAGAGCAAAAAACCGCAGGCATGAATGAGCCATTTTCCACGTCCGTTCGTCAAGGGATCGAGAGTGTAAATGTAGGCTTTGTGAAACCCACACTAGGGTGCTACCTGCAAAATATGTCACATGGTCTCATGGTGTCCATCGACGAGGGCTTGCCGTTCCACCCGCAGCTTGTGAACCGGGCAACAGCTTGACGTCAGCTGAGCGTTCTTAGAATGTTGTTGGTCGTGGTGGCTTGACAGAAGACAGCTCCCATTGGCGACCTGCCTAAATAAGAGTTGACTAGTGGGCTGATTGGGCTGACTACCCACTGCGACCCCAATGGCGAGCAGGGGATCATCGCCAGATCCGTCAGAGGCGTGACTAAAATTGCATGGCTGTGCCTCTCGCGTCCGCTGCGCCATGCCAACCAACACTAGCAGAAATGCCCTTTAGAACAATCGAATATTTGAATAACTACCCCAGACATGTCCCACGATCGAAGCTTGGTCAGTGTCTGTCGCCTCCAACAGAGAAAGCCAGCCATCCTAATACCAAAGACCCAGAAGGAGCCTTCGATTGAAGTCTAGATATATCAAACATCATCAGCAAACTCAATCATCCTAAAACTTGAGATCGTACCACCATTATCAAAACTCTAGCCGATATGGGGCTGTTTGGAAAATCAACATCGACAGAGGGCGCGGGCGCCGATGAGCCCAAGAAGTCTCTCTACCAACGCTATCAAGACAAGAAGAGCGGCCGTGACACCCAAATTTCAGACGAGGATCTCCAAAAGTACACCGGCAAGACCAAGGATGAGATCAACGACTGGGCTAAGGATCGTCCTGGCGTCGCAGGAAACCGGGCTGCAGGGACACTCACGGCGGGACCCGCTTCCGGCTTTGGCGGAATGGCGACAGCGGGTGGCTACGGTGGATGGGGAACGGATGCTGGATCGGATCCAAAGCATCCGCCGCCGCAGAAGGAGCGGAAGGAGGTCGACGACTCCGAGTAGCTGCATTAAGGGAGGGCCGCGATAGTTGCGAGAACGAGATGTTATTATTAGAAATGTCAAGCATCATCAGAGAAGGAGTGAGGGGTCAACAACGAAGAGACTTGAAGGATCAGGGCAGTTAAACACGAGCCTATCAACGGCGCGGGACGGCGGAACTTTCAGTTCATCCGGAATAGTTTTATGATCTGTCTCATGAAATAATACAATCGTGTTACTATCGTCCCATGCAGTTATAATGAACCAGCTATTAGTGGGGACTCATCTCGAAAAGCTTCATATACCTATCGCCTGATATAAAGTTGAGACAGCCTTCATGTCTTGAATCATCAGGCACGCCGTCCCACACTCACCCTTCGCAAGCAAATGTGTGGTCAGCCTAGCAATAAATGAGGCATCGGGTTGAGTACGCATGGATCTATGTTCGTTCAGCTTGGCGTTCTTAGTAATTGCTTGGGGAGTCCCCAATCTCAAAACCAAACGTAAGGAGGCTTTCTATGCGCAGCCGGCATCCATCGGGTATTTTATCCGCTTTCTTGGCAGGCGTATATCATGTAACGCTTATCTATACATCATTGAAGATCTGTTGTTCATACAATCGGAGTGCTATTGTCAATTTCCTAGCCGAAGTCTTCGAGGCAAGTGCCAACTACAAGTTAAACCCAAATCAACTCGAGACTTGACTAAAGTGAAGAGGTAATTCTTACATCTACTGCGCTGACGAGTCGCCTTGACTCGTGAACAGAGAGCATCGTAGTGTGGAAACTTATCAGTGAAACACAACGCAATAAATGGTTAGACCGGACACTTGTGCGTCAAACTGTCTTTCCGATCATCAACTGTACACCCCCCTTTTCGATGACTTTCATCGATAAGCGATTTGACGTGTCGCGATATGTTTCGTTCTTGTAGATGCAGCATCATATTCATTCAATGACTAAGCAATTAAGAAGAAGCAGATATCGGGGTCTGGACAGCGCCTGTACTCGATGGACTCTCTGGGAGATAAGTACCGTTTGGACTGATATTTTTTCATACTAAGCTATAAATCTGATTCAATGTACGGCATGAATTGGGTCTTGACCTTTGTAGTACAAAGCCATGCGCCATCGAATTGCGTTGATCAAAGTTCAGGGGACTTGAAGTTTCGTTTAATTTATGATTTGCATTGACTACTGTTAAATTAAAGACAAACATGAAATTTGCCGAGCCTTTAATCGCAGATACTAAGAGCACGGAACGATAACTGATCATATCTGGTTCCCGTCACTAACATCGGTCTTTCTAAGGGAAGTCAGCCCGCATCTTGAGAATGCCGTCAATCATAGAGCTGCCAGAAGCCCAGCCAGCATAAGTCTCGGCAGAACTAGTGACACTAATGGAGAGAGCACCCCAGATCCATCGGTTTCCATTGCCATCGAGTTCCCAGTGAGGGCCACCGGACTGGCCTCCCATGGTATCGGTATCGGTGTAAAAGGGGCCAGTTGAGTCGCAGTCAAAGGTTCTCTTAGAGTGAACCGTGATATCAGTCTGGCGGTAGGGGCGATTGCCACCGTCCTTGTCACCAGGGTAGCCCATGTGAAAGAACTGAGGCTTGTCAAACATGTTGCGGTCAGGTACCTTCGCGCCGAAATAACCGAGTTGGTCACCGAGGCGCTGGTCGAGAGCATAGACTACCCAGTCGCCCTTGGTTTCGCAAGGGGAGAAGGGCTCTTGGCCGTAGGTGAAGAGACCATTGGTGATCTGGGCAGAGCCAAAGCGGGCCCCATTATCGAAGCCAGGGTAGAAAGATCCCGGGATAGGGGGGTCGGGGTTGCAGTGTTTGGCAGAGAGGATGTGACGAGGGCCGATCAAGGCAGCCGAACAGAAGACGCCATTAGACCACTGAAGTTTTCCAACGGAGTGGAAAGGGTAGTTGGGATCGGTCCAGAGATGACGGTTGTCTACGCCAACGATGAAGCGCTTGGCGACCTCTTCGACGGCGGCACCAGACGGCGTGAAAGGAGATGCCTCGGTGATATTGCTGATGAGCTCCGCAGCGTCGACGACAGCGATCTTGGGAACTGGGGCATCGGCTGGAACACGGCGAGCAGCAGTGGCGTCGAAACCGATGGGGTGAGTGATTTCTGCTTGCTCGGTTTGCCTAGTACCCAGAGGAGCTGCTGGGCTAGCTTGGACAGCAGAGCAAAAAGCGAGGACGGCTGCAGCCGCAGACTTTGTGAAGTGAACCATGTCGAAACAATCTGATTTGAAAGGCGCTGACTGTCAGTATTGAGGATTCAATGCTGTTGGTGCATCAATATTGTCAAGACATGGCAGATAGCTGCTCCTTTATAGAGGTCTAATCGCCTCTGGGTCATGAACCATAGCAGCGAGCCTGGAGGCCTAGTTACCATGAAATGGCATGTTTCTCCTACATGAAAATCGCACTTTCCGAACACTGAGTATCCGAAGGCTACAGCCAAGAGGCAATCGGCAGCCCGTTGCGATATCCAAAGTCTGCTGTGCCGCTCACAGGCAGTCTCAACGCTACTATCGAGGCTAGATTGGCCTCTAGATGAGGCTACATCTTTCGAATGTCCGTGTATAGAATGACTGGTCTTAGCGAATCTTATGCCAAGCTTGTCTGAAGTAACCTAGAGTCTGATTAGGCTGTCGAATATGGAACTTTGGATCAATAATGAGACCCTAGATGCTTCCCCAGCTTAGGATGACGATCCCTTGGGATTATCCGCCCATGGTACTCACCTAGCTTTTCTTCGGGGTCCATGAAGTAAGAAAATTGCTGTAGTCAAAGTAGAATTGACATTCAATAATCTGCGTTATGCAGTCTGGTTACGTTCTCTCTCCTTGGCTCTCTTTTCACGGAAAGGCGAACTTCGCATGGTGATTTAGGGCTATTCGTCACAACGAAGCAACTACACAAGAGCCGCCATAGAACCTGTGTTTGTTCCCAGTCTTGCATTCATCGCGGAGGTGACTTATCTTTAAGGGATATTTTCACGACATTCCAACCTGAGACAAGACAACATGTCATCGAGGCTTTATTGTGGGTATGCTATCGAATTCTATCCGAAAATCATTGTAGGGCGTGTCTGACAACGATTGAATATGCAGGTCGAATTGGGTGCCGTTCACCTGGCATGATAATAACACATCATGGAAAGTGCGAGGTTCGCATGGCACGATTCGACCTATCGTAGAAGTCAGTAGTGCAACTTTGATTTAAGGCCCTGGAAGGATCATGTAGAAATGAAAGTTCGGACGTCACCTGCCCTTTCGAGCAGCAGCGTTGCAACCGCTGACGGTTGTCTTTGCAGACCTCCACTAAGCTGACAATTTTTCAACCTGGTCAGCGAAAGTAGCCAGCCCATGGGAGAAGAAAGCCAAGAGACAGGGTAGCTTTCACAACTGTGACTTCGAGTGGTCGAGTTCCTTCCGACCCCTCTCTGAATAGATCCTTCCGGTTGCCGGCATCTTGAGGTTGTCTGTGCTGACTGCATATACCTAATATAAGTGCAATTGGTTCAAGTGAGCCAATAATCGCGATTCTATGTGCATGTTAAGTCGACGGGCAATGCTTTTATCAGTTGCTGCCTCGGACTAATGTCTTGGCCGAATCCTTTAAGAACTAACATTTCATCCCAATCTGTGTCTTATTTCGAAGTTCTACGACCGCGCACTGCAGCATGCTTTATGAACTTGCGAAACCTGAGGGACTTAATGACAATGTCACTTATTGTTGCAACATCTCATGCCATGTTCGGTTCATGTAATAAACGTCAGATCAAGAAAGCGCGTTTTCTCGGTCTGTATGATACCACCTTACAGGACTTTTACCTTTTCGTGTCAGAAAAGGTGGCTGCGTTTCCTTTCATATGACAGATAGCAGATAATTAGACGGACTTTTTATAACTCGCGCTACGGAAGCTGTAGTTGAGTTGCAACTAGTATACTGAATGTGTCCTGTAAAGAAAGTTAGAATTAATTGCCGTCAAATCAAGTCTCAATCAAGTCAAGTCTGTACATTACTGCCCAACTTCTACTTTATTTAGTCGCGCTATGGTATTATCAAGTCAATTCGTATGCTTTTTTATGCATTAAGCTATTTGAAATGGCTTGTTCAATACTCTCACTGCTCTTCTGACAGTACAATCAATCTTAGACCAATTGCCTAGGACGACTTTCACGTTAGTAGCCAACTTGAACTGCTACGGCTACTCTTCCTGAAGTATGACGAAATAGCATGCCATATCCATCATTGACTAATAATGGAGTAAACAAAAAGCTTTCCATACATTTGTGGCTACGACTCGACAGGAGGCGCCGGTGATGCTGTGATATATGCAATGAACGATTGGAAACCGGCGGACGAAAGTTGGGACCCTAGGGTTTAGATGTCGCCTCAAGCTCCGAATACATCTCGTTCCTGTTTTTGACTTAGATAGGGGATCTCAATAGAATTTCTTCGATATCGAGGCATTGATGTTGCAATTTGGTGGTCTACAGCAATCGTTGAAGACGAGGATGCTGTCTTTGCCCCTCACTGCTATCTTCAAAGATTCTGGACCCTCGATTTCTTCCCAATGTCATGATTCTCTAGAATAGAATTTGAAGACATAGCAGATGAAGCCATGTAAAATCTCTTTGCAAACCCTGATGTGGTGAAATACTGGCTAACCGACGCTCAACTTCGAGTTCAGATTGCCTTACTCATTTGGTATACGGCACTTAGTGGAAAAGGAATGCTCATACCAATAAATTCGGCTTTACCTTCAACGCCTTTGATAGAAGTGAATCACTTTTACCTTTTTCAGGAATTCAATAATGGGAGAGTGGCAACAACGATGCTTGTTCGACTTCTCGAATTGATGAGTAAGTCTCACAATGTGGCTTGCCCGCTGACATCAACTTGGCAAGCCTAGACGGCAATTTGAGATCAAGCCGTGCAAGCCACTTAACTTTCAGGAGAAGAAAGTAAGTGTGGCTGTTTCAAGCTACCTTGCGTCGTTCATCTCAAAAGGGGCAATTCATTATGACTTTGAACGGCTTTTCCGGTCAGTGCGCAACGTGTCAATCCATCGACGGATATGCCTTTTCGCGGGTGCCTGGCCAGTGCAACCCGTCAGCAGGAGTGCGCTGTAAATAGGAAAAAGGATTCAGGGTGCAGCAGGCATCCGTCTGAAGTTGAAGGGATTGCCTCGCTGCTGCACAGCCCAGTGCAG